AAATTGGAGGATTGGGCCACAAGAATTCTAATGAAGTTCAACAAGGACAAGTGCAGAGTTCTGCACTTGGGACGGAAGAATCCCAAGCATTGTTACAGGCTTGGGACCAACCACCTAAGTAGCAGTTCTGCAGAAAAGGACCTGGGGGTTACAGTGAATGAGAAGCTGGATATGAGTCAACAGTGTGCCATGTAGCCAAGAAGGCTAATGGCATATTAGGCATATTAGGTTGCATTAAGAGGAGTATTGCCGGCAGATCCAGAGATGTCCTTATTCACCTTTACTCGGCTTTGGTGAAGCCACATCTGGAATATTGTGTCCAGTTCTGGGCCCCCCACTGCAAAAAGGATGTGGACGCATTGGAGAGGGTCCAGTGGAGGGCAACCGAAATGATTAGGGGGCTGGACCATATGACCTATGAGGAGAGGCTGAGGGAGTTGGGTCTTTTTAGTCTGCAGAAGCGAAGAGTGAGGGGGGATTTGATAGCAGCCTTCAACTTCCTGAAGGGAGGTTCCAAAGAGGCTGGATGAAGGTGGTTCTCAGTAGTGACAGATGGCAGAACAAGGAGAAATGGTCTCAAGTTGTGGTGGGAGAGGTCCAGGTTGGATATTGGGAAAAACTATTTCACTAGGAGAGTGGTGAAGCACTAGAATGGGTTACCTAGGGAAGTAGTGTAGTCTCCATCCCTAGAGGTGTTTAAGTCTTGGCTTGACCAAGCCCTGGCTGGGTTGATTTAGTTAGGATTGGTCCTGCCTAGAGCAGGGGGCTGGACTTGATGTCCTTCTGAGGTCTCTTCCAGCTCTATGGTTCTATGATTCTATGAATTCCATGATAGAGTCCAGAGCCTTAGACAAATTGGAGGATTGGGCCACAAGAAATCTGATGAGGTTCAACAATGACATAAGAACATAAGAATGGCCGTACTGGGTCAGACTAAAGGTCCATCTAGCCCAGTAGCCTGTCTGCCAACAGTGGCCAGCACCAGGTGTCCCAGAGAAGGTGGATTGAAGACCATGGTCAAGCGATTTGTCTCCTGCCATCCTTCTCCAGTCTGTGACAAACAGAGGCCAGGGACACCATTTCTATTCCCTGGCTAATAGCCTTTTATGGACCTAATTTCCATGAAATTATCTAGCTTCTCTTTAAACTCTGTTATAGTGCTAGCCTTCACGGCCTCCTCTGGCAAGGAGTTCCACATGCTGACTACATGCTGTGCGAAGAATAACTTTCTTTTATTAGTTTTAACCTGCTACCCATTAACTTCATTTGGTGTCCTCTAGTTCTTCTATTATGGGAACTAATAAATAACTTTTCTTTATTTGCCCTCTCCATACCACTCATGATTTTATATACCTCTATCATATCCCCCCTCAGTCTCCTCTTTTCTAAACTGAAGAATCCCAGTTGTTTTAACCTCTCTTCTTATGGGACCCATTCCAAACCCCCTAATCATTTTAGTTGCCCTTTTCTGAACCCTTTCCAAGGCTAAAATATCTTTTTTGAGGTGATCTCTGGGTTGATTTAGTTGGGATTGGTCCTGCCTAGAGCTGGGGGCTGGACTTGATGACCTTCTGAGGTCTCTTCCAGTTCTATGATTCTATGATTCTATGATCTGTACACGTTATTCAAGATGTGGGTGTACCATATTTTATACAGGGGCAGTAAGATATTCTGTGTCTTATTTTCTATCCCTTTCTTAATAATTCCTAGCATCCTATTTGCCTTTTTGACCACCACTGCACACTGTGTGGAAGTTTTCAGGGAACTATCCACAGTAACACCAAGATCTCTTTCCTGATTTGTCATAGCCAAATTAGCCCCCATCATATTGTACATATAGTCGGGGTTATTTTTCCCAATGTGCATTACTTTACACTTATCCACATTCAATTTCATTTGCCATTTTGTTGCCCAATCACTCAGTTTGGTGAGATCTTTTTGGAGTCCCTCACAGTGGGTATGTCTACACTACCTTCCTAGTTCGAACTAGGAGGGTAATGTAGGCATACCGCACTTGCAAATGAAGCCCGAGGAGTAACGGTAGTTTGAACTAGGAAGCCTAGTTCGAACTACCTAGTTCGTGCCCCGTGTAGCCACGCTGCACGGGGTTTGAACGAGCGGGGTTTTAAAAATGGCGGCGCCCCGTTTATGCAAATGAAGCCCGGGAAATTCAAATCCCGGGCTTCATTTGCAAGTGTGGTATGCCTACATTACCCCGCTAGTTCGAACTAGCGGGGTAGTGTAGACATACCCAGTCTGCTTTTGTCTTGACTACCCACTTAAAGCAATAATATTTAATACAAACTGTGTACAAATTGAGAAAGCAAACAGAAATTTTCCTGGATTCTTTCAGGTATGAAGTATGATTGATGTCTTTCTTTGAAGTTACGTGTAAAGCCACTGTTTAAGCCAACTATGGTGAAGAATGAGAAGCTTTATTGGGAAAAATATGCCTAACTTCAATTTTTCACTTCACTTCTGTTAAGTTTAGGGTATGAAAAATCTATTTGTAATTATAGAAAAGAGATAACTAAGAAAAACTCTTGACAAAACTCCCATTGCTTCATGAGGCCACTTACATCAGTGGAGCCAGACTTTTCAGCTCTGGACCTGATTCTTTGGTCACCTCTCCTTTGTATCATGAGTAACTGTTGAAAGCAATGAAGTTAATTGTGAAAAACAGGTATGCAGATTTTTTTAAAGTATATTGCATTAAAAGTATCAGTATCAACCCTTTATCTGTACTTGTAAAAATATTGGATGATTAAGGACTCCTTTCCTGCAAATTTTCAGCTGTTATACCAGCTGGTATCATTGTGATTTATCAATTTTCTACCTTGTTCATTCTCAGAGTTAAAAGATAAAGAGCATGAGACTTGCAGAGAGTTATAAAACCCTTTCCCTCTTCTCCTCCTCCCCCCGCAAAAAAACATAAAGGTCATTTTAGAATAGTGTTACTGACAGTCTTATTCATGGTTGACTGAGTTCAATGTTTGATCACAAGATTTTCAGCCAGACACAGGGGCCTGAGGTATATTTTGACATGTTGGTCACATACTAGAAAAAATATGTACACCAATGCTGTCATTTTTCTGCAGATGAATAATGTGACCATAGAATATTGCCTTGACATCATAAGGAAGTTTGAAGTTTCAGAAGAAAACAAGGAGCAAAATGTTCTGGGGATAGAAGGTAAAGTATCTGATACCCAATTTATTTCCATAACAATAGAGTAGAAGAGTTCTAACAGCATTTTCCCTGTCCTCGCTTTTAATGTCCGATGATTACAGTAGATTAAAGTGAAGGCTCAATCACATGATTGCTCGGGGGTATTTTATTAAGATATGTATGGAAAGATCGGAGAACAACAGGTTGAAGTACCTGACTAGTACTGTGAAGTACCTGACCAGCCACAACTGCAACAAGTCATTCCAGTATTGTTTTAAAACAAGAGTGCATAAACATTTGTATGGGTTTTTATTTCTAATTGTTTATATGTATTTAGGTTATGGTATAAATATTTTCATTTATGTAAAAAAAATGAGCCAATTGTGCTGATACATTTGTGTAAAACCAGAACTACTTTACAGTGGTCCGTAGCAGTCATTTAAGCCATTGAGAAATGTTATCTCTGCTTCTCTTCCTGAGGTGACATGTATCCAGTCAATATGGGGATAATTAAAATCCCCCATTATTATAGAGTTCTTTATTTTGGTAGCCTCTCTAATATCCCTCAGCATTTCAATGTCAGTATCGCTGTTCTGATCAAGTGGTCGATAATATATCCCTGCTGCTAATTTCTTATTTTTGGAGTATGGAATTACTATCCATAGCGATTCTATAGAACATGTTGATTCATTTAATATTTTTATTTCATTTGATTCTACATTATCTTTCACATACAGTGCCACTCCGCCACCCACACGGCCTGCTCTATCCTTCCGATATATTTTATATCCCAGTATGATTGTGTCCCACAGATTTTCCTTATTCCACCAGGTTTCAGTGATGCCTATTATGTCAATCTCCTTCTTTAATATGAGGTACTCTAGTTCACCCATCTTATTAGTCAGACTCCTATAAGTGTAGAGACCTGCACTTCCTTAAGGGAGTTTCCAAATAGGCCGGAGAAAGGCTGTTCACAATAGTGATGGATGGCAGAACAAGGAACAATTGTCTCAAGTTGTGGTGGGAGAGGTCCAGGTTGGATATTAGGAAAAACTATTTCACTAGGAGGGTGGTGAAGCACTGGAATAGGTTTTACCTAGGGAAGTAGTGGAGTCTCCATCCCTAGAGGTGTTTAAGTCTCAGCTTGACAAAGCCCTGGCTGGGTTGATTTAATTGGGATTGGTCCTGCCTTGATGGCCTTCTGAGATCTCTTCCAGCTCTATCGTTCTATGATTCCATGAAAATGTAAAAGTATCATCAAGCCACCTTTTGTCCCTCTCCTCAGTCTTGTAGAACTTGGCTAAGACCCAAAGGAAAAGATAGCTTTAATTCCACTTTTGAATCCAGGACATAAGAGGAACCAATATTTGAGTTATTACCAGATCCAAAGAATTAATACATATTACTGAATGACTCTTTAACCCTAACAATTCCTGCACAGTGCTGAATAAAATAGATCCAGAGTGCACTATGAGTCCTTAGACGGCCTGGCTGCTCTGCTTACCGGCAAGGGATCCAGACCGTTCTTATCAGGGCAGAAGCAAGAACTTCTTTAAGTAGGCTTAGGCCAGAAGAGCCACTCCCTGCCAAATGACTAGATTCTGCTCTGATGTGTACTCTTCCCCAATGACTAAGCACTTTGAAATGGGATCCAGTTTTCCACAACAGGGCATGCATTCTCTCAGCAGTGATCTGTTTAGACAATGTTCGGGAGGAGAATAAAACCAATATGTTATACAATCTACCTGTGTGCCATAAATCAACATTTGCAAGTCTCTGACATAGAAACTAAGCAATATTTTTGGTCTGTATTAAGTATGTAAAAATGTTACCTGGCAAGGTTTTTTCATTTTAATTGCTATTACATGGTATCTGTAACAGCAGAGCTCACAGGTCCATGACCCTCTTTCACTAATCCACTTTAACAGGCACAATTGATGTGTGTACCGTACTGACCCATCACATCGGCAAGGATTTAACAATTCACCCTGAAACAAGACAAAAATATCAGAGTGATTTTATTTTTTTATACCATATTTCATGTTTTGTGTTCTGGAATGTGATTGTTTTAGTCACTGTCTTAAGATTTTGTATTTTTGGCTAGAATAACAACCAAAAGTTAGAGCTCTTTTAAATATATCATCTCTCACTATCTCCAAATATTCTACCACATTGCAAACAACAGGTTGAAGTGCATTACACTGCATGTGTAATTATTATGCCAATGATCTTATTGGGTAAACAGTAATGCTATTTATTATCTTTTTCTAGTAACTACAGAGGGATGGTTGCATGTATTTCCGCTGCAGTTACTCTTAATCATGGGTAAAAAAGAAAGGCATGACATCATAGTGAACTGCATGCTTACAGTAGCAATTGTACTGTTAAGATTCCTAACTGTCAAATTACAGTATAAAAATTCTCTACTAAATGAACAGTTTTCAAAAAAAAATAATCTAAAAATGTCGTTCCAGTCAAAATATTATACTATGTCAAATTATTTACTGAAATTGTGTTTGCTTGAAGCTTTTTTGTTTCTTATTTCTGTGATGCTACTTCAGAAATATAACAGACTAAGCTACCTAATCATACTAACAGTTGCCCTCATCTATGTTCTAAAATAAAACACCAAGTTAATAGTCTCTTATATTAAAGTCTAACTGGACAATTCAATAATAGCTTTCTTTTTCTAGTTTCTTTTAATAGAAAAATAAAGTATAACAACCCGCATTCCTCTTTTTATGTCATAATGGCCCAAAGAGGGAGCTGGCCGACTAAGGTGACATGTATAAAGTAAAATGCTAGTGGAAGGCTCCAGCTCCGATCCTGTGGGAATGACCAATCATGAAACCTTTTCAGAGGTTTTCCTCCTAAAAGTAGTGGGGAAGCTCGTCCCGGTTCATTAACACGCAGAGGACACGCAGCTTTGAGAAGGAGATTTGCCCGTGCAGGCTGCTCCCTGCTGAGCCACGTGGCCGCTATTTCCTGCCTTTCCAGCCGGGCAGAGGCGGCCGGCAAACC